AGGAGGGGAAGACCCTCTATGAGATGGATTGATTCAGTGACTGGGGTAATCGGGATGGGTGTGTCAGAGGCGGTGCAGTTGGCGCAGGATAGAGCAGGGTTTAGAGCTGTTGTGCATAGGGTCGCTATGAGTCAGAAACAGCTCGACGGCACATAACAACAACATCAACCAATCTACTCCACAAATTGCTGTCTGTCAGATACTCCTCTAAATCTAAACATTCAGATTAAGACAGACTAGGAAGAAGGACTGGCCATCCACTTCTGAAATTGCAGGCCTCTGAAAACCCTATGTACAACACAACACACGTAGACAAACAGAAAGGGCAACCTAGGTAGAACTGTCAAGCATGGAAATACAAAGGAAGAGGAACAGTTGTAAGCAGACACTAGTGATTGAACTGGGGTAATCGGGATGGATGTGTCAGAGGCAATGAGACTGGCACAGGATAGAGCACGGTTTAGGGCTGTTGTACATAGGGTTGCTATGAGTCGTAAACGACTCGACAGCACATAACAACAACAACAACAACAACAAATCAACCAATCTATTTTTAAGAAAACTATTTAGTTTTACTGATATGCCCTAGGATAAATCTAAAACCAACAAATAATAAAACTGAAATTAATGAGTAGTTAAGAACTTGGACATATTAAGCATATTGGAAAAAGCAAAGAAATTACAAATATCCTTAACTTATAACTTAATAAAATGAAATGATATATGAAAAGAATCTATAAACCTTACTATTATAAAATATTCAGTTCACTAAAATATTACTTGATCATTTTAACTGATTACTTTTAATATTAATTATTCAAGAAGCTCAATTAAACATTTTCCAAAGCAATTATTGGTTTATTCACTCTTTATTCATTTTAGAAAACAGTAACCAGAAATTTTTTTTCGTTGAATATTTACCTAAGTCACTTATTGAACCTGCCATGTCCGCCTTTGATAATTCAACAACCACCTAAGAACAGAATATTAATAATGAACATGAATCCTTTTTATATTTATGAACAATCTAACAAAAGCATAGCCTCATTCAAATAGTGTCCTACAATGGCTATGATTTAGTTCTAAAAGTAGAAGAACTTCACGAAAAAATTATTACTTTTAGAATTAACAATTTCAATGTTATTAATTTTACTCTTAAATTCCTTTTAAAAGCTCTTCACTCAGCAATTTCATCAATATTCACACTGCCTATTAATTATCTATGATTATTCTTTCTAACATTCTCTGGCCCTGCCACTGTGTTCAAATTTTAATTACATACCCCAAAACTTTGTCCCTTTGGACATATTGTGAGGAGAGACAGGTCCTTGGAGAAGGACATCACGCTTGAGAGGGTGGAGGGACAGCGCAGGAGGGGAAGGCCCTCTATGAGGTGGATTGATTTCAGTGACTGGGATAACTGGGATGGGAGTGTCAGAGACAGTGCGATTGGCACAGGATAGAGCGGAGTTTAGGGCTGTTGTAGATGGGGTCACTATGAGTCGCAAGCGACTCGACGGCACATAACAACAACAACAACAACAACCCCAAAACTACCATGTTCCAAACTTTGTATCTCACACACACACAAACCAATAAATCCAGTGTTCACTCTTGATTTCCCCATTTTAGACTCTGCATCATTATCTTATTATTTTCCTCTTCTGTCCCTCTCCCTCCAATTCAGGCACCTATATCCCACACCTACATTCAGTAAGAAGGGCTCACTCATCAAGAGTCCCTGAGTTTTATTAAATTTCCTCTGCTTTCATACAAATATTTTGAACATCTTTACTTACCCACACATTAAGAACTCCACTTTCATCCAATGAAGCAATGTGGAATGATAACCCTGATGTTTCTAATGAAAATACAAAAAAATTGGAAATTTTATAAAAAAGGAAACAGCATTTCATAATTATTGGCTTAAGGATTTTTAAAAATTGTGAAGTATCTGTGTACCTTCTTGAGCAGAAAAAGGTGAAAGTACAACGTTCTGTTTTTTGTAGATGGATTTTGAGACAGGTTCTATTGCTTGAAGAGGACTTTGATGGTTGACTGAGGTAAGGATACCATCTGGAGTTTAAAAACAGGACAGTGCCCACATATCAGTAACAACCCAAAAAACAAAAGAAATGTTAAGAATGGACAAATGTGACTGTGAATCTGAACAATAACAGCAATTATTTAAGCCAAAATTTCCCCACACAAGTTGAAAAAAACCCACAAGATTAGTAAGAAATACAAATAAATTATACATGACCATTACTTTCAACATTACTAGGATACAGAGAAGACTACAAATCTCAAAATGCCTTTAAAAAGAGGACTATACAGCAACTTAAAGTAACCCTACCATTATCATTTCAAGAGTGCAGTGAGGAGGGCACGGGAGGGCAGACTTTACATTAGAAAAGAGGAGTGTGCAGCAAAGATTAGAGAAAATGCAGTCAGTCACCCTCAAGGGAATAAAGTCCAATTCCTAACGCAAGACCAATGGACATAGGTCTGCACTTGGGAATTTACTCAGCAGCTCCAGGAAAGGAAGAAAAAGGAAAGCAGAACTAAAAGTGGCAGTCTTAGAGAATCATGACTCAGGGGGAAGATAGATACACTGATGTGCAATTGCTCTCTGAAAGCAACTAACCACCCCAGATTATGGTGTATAAAAGACATAAACATAAAGACTAAAGAGGAAAAGTACAACTCAGATGTGATCTTAACCAAATTAAGAAAGAAGACGTAAAAATGATAATTTAAATATTTTTACTAGATACAGGGAATCATAACAGCTAAGGACACTTATGACAAATAGATTAAAGGAAATTACCAGCTAAGGCTATAAATTAGTCTAACCTATGGGAAGAAGTTTTCACTTTACAGTTGGTATTCTTAACTGGGAATGAGTTTTCCCTCCCTCTGTCGTGGGGACAGGGAGCTCCAGCAGCTTAACGGTAACGAGTTATGCTGCTGACAGAAAAGCAGGAGGTTCAAATCCACCTTCTGCTCCACAGAAGAAAGATAAGAAATCTCCTCTTGTACAATATACTGCCTCTGAAAATCAGTTGGAGTGTCAGCTATAAGGTGGTTCCAACTATACAGCACATACCAACAACACTGGGGCATGTGACAGTCTAGAAACATTTTTTACTGTCACACTCCAATAGGGCTATTATTTATATCTAGTTAATAAAGGTCAGGTATTCTGTCAAACACACCACAAGGCAAAGGACAGTCTTTATGGCAAATAACTCTCTCGGTCACAGTGTCAAAAGCACTGAGAGGGATAAAGAATGAGACGAGAGAAAACTACAATTTGAGGGGAAAGTCGTCCTCACTGAAACCCTTGCTGATGCAGCTACCAGCACAGCCTTATAGTCAACATGGACCAACAAAACTGTGCAGGGCTGTAAATGTGACTCTGAGTTCTGGTTGATCCAACCTAGGCAGCTGACATGACCTTAAGACTTATTAACAGTAGTGGTGGTATAGAGTGGTTATGAGAAATAAATTACACAATGTATTCAAAGCACTTACAAAAAGCCATACCGTAGCAACCCTCCATGGGTTTCTGGGGCTGTAAATCTTAACAAGAGTCGAATGCCCATCTTCTTCTCTCATAAAAAGCCCACGGACATAAAAAATGTTATTGTATCTATTGATAATGTTAAATAAGGTGTGGTATAAGCTATTCCCTGGAAGCAAATTAAGGATGATGAAGGATCAAGTTGTTATGGTACTTTTTATTCTCAAGAAGCACTTAGCCTATCAAGAACTGTTGTTGTGTTGTTGCTGTGTGCCTTTGAGTCAGAACTGACCCACAGCTGACCCTCCAGAGGATTTTAAGAGACAGTAAATCACACGAGAGGAGAACTTTCCATTTTTCTCCTGCAAAGCATGGAGCGGATTTGAACCATGTGCCTTTGGGATTAAAAGTACAGCTCCTAACCACTAGACCACTAGTTAAACTAAGCATGCTAAGGGAGCACACATATACAAACATATTTTAAACAATCTAATATAAAACTAAAGGTTATATAACATTCAGGTGTCTGTCTTTTCTTAACATAGAAATTAAGTAAGAAAGCAAATTAAAATCACTATCACAGATAAGTATTATCTGATAGATGGACGGATTTTGGGGAGTTTATTTATCGAATGACATTTTGGCACTAGAAATAGGTCAGATCTCCATTCACTGAGATAATTTAACTGAATAAATGCAAAAAGACATAACACAGTCCTGAAATCTGCCATGGTTTTTCTAGAAGATACATCCTCTATATAATCAGCTGACAGATGACACTAACCAGTAGAAAATGTTGACGTCCGGAATGTCCAAAAACAATCAATCAGCTTCACATAATGATGGATCCTCGAGTCTTCTCGTAAATCCCACACAAGCACAGAGCCATGCACTGTCCCAGCAAAGAGTAAAAATGCTTTGAAAGGGCTAAAGCAGCAGCATGTGACCTACAAAAGATACAAAAGATGTGAGGACTAAAAGACACTTGAACTGTATCTACACAAGTTAAATTGAGTGAGTTTGGTATTTGATTCCGTTCATTTTGTACTTTAGTCTTACTTTAAAAAACAAACAAGCAAACAAAATCAGGCAGTGCAATGGTTAATTAAGCCTTGCCTGCTGAGAGATTGGCAATGTGAACCCATCCAGGAGATCCACAGCGGAAAGAGCTTGCAATCTGCTGTCACACAGGTTTATAAACAAACAAGAAAGGAAACAAAGAGAAAACAGTACTGTCGAGTCAAATTTCATCTTACAGTGACCCTGTAGGGGAAAGCAGTGTCAAGATTTCCAAGGCTGTAGATCTTTGTGAAAGTAGATTCCCTTTCATTTAACAGATAAGCACTTTAACCACTTTGCCACAGGGCTCCTCATAAAGACCACAGTCTAGGAAACCTTCCTTTTGCTCTGTCATAAGGATCACTATGACTTAGTGGTAAAGAGTTGTACAGCCAACCCAAAGACAGATGATTCAAATCCACTCGGTTGGATAAAGATGAGCAAGCTCCTCCCACGTGATTTACAGCCTCTGAAAACCCACTGGAGGGACAGCTAGAGTCAGTTCTGACTTGATGGCACATAACAACAATATAAGCTGAAAATTATTCAGCTGCATCTAACAATAACAATAGCCCTAAGATATTTCGTCATAGGAATCTGTGTGAAATAATAAGTAGAATATGAACTTTCACACTAGAAAAATCTGGCTTCAAATTCTGGCTCTACCACTGACTGTGTATGCTTGAGCACAGGAAAAAATGTGTGCTGTCTGTGCATCGGTTTCCTCACCTACCTTGTTGGATCATTACAATTAAATATAACATGTCTGGTAAATGGCTTATACATAAGAAATGCTCAAAAATTCTTTGTATTTCTCTGAACTGGTTGAGTCTAAAAGAAAAGTGACTCTAAACTTAGGCCTTTTATTTACTGTATGTTGTTGTGTCAAGGCAGTTCCCACTCAGTGACCCTGTAAGACCCTGAGGATTTCCTGCAGACTGACAGCTCTACATCCACCAATCTTTCCATTAGCACCAGAGCTTTGAACCAGCAAGCAAGCCTCCAGAGCTATTCATAAAACAAAGCCTTGAACTGAAAAACAAAGTTATTATTCATCAAATTCCAAAAACTGACAACTATAATGCTTATTCTTCTATGCAGCTATGGTGAAAACTAATGGTTTTGATGGAAGTCAAGGAGAATATGAATAGGAAAAGACAGATATTATCCAAATCAACAAGGAAAGGAGGCCTTCCTCTGTATATGTGTGGTCATCAAACCCCAGCACTGTCAATCAGGCACTGGAAAACACAAGTGACTGGGGTCTTGAAGTGGCAAAAGGATGGGTTACTTTAAACTACTTAGGAAACTGCAAATGTATTTTAAATTAGAGTACAAATCTCAAAAGTACATAAGACCCATAAAGAGCAAGAAAAGTAACAAACACCTAGAATCTGAGTCATAGTCAGCAAAATGCTTTTAATAAGCTTACTCCTAAATATAGGGGAGTTCTGGTGGCCCAGTGTAAGGAGCTGAGTTCCCAGTCCACCACCTGCTCTGTGGGAGAAGGACAGCCAGTCTATTCCTGTGTGATTTATTGTCTCTGAAAACCAGCTGGAGAGTCAGCTATGGTTTGGTTCTGACCCAACAACATATAACAACGACGACTAACTATATTTAGGAAATAATTCTAAATTGACCTCAGAGAATGTTCTGCGATAATCATGACCTCCACCGTCAGATAAGTTTATCTGAGTTGTTCTTTTAAAGCAATAATTTCTTCTTGTCAAAACTGTAATATGTACAAGTGAACTATAAAAGTCACTGCTAAAGAGTCAATTTCAAACCCCAGTAAACCTTCAGCAGCTGGTAGAGTCAAATGACCAATCTTTTGGTTGTCAGTCCAATACAATCCAATAGAATTCCTTCAACTTGATGATAGTAGGTAAGAAAATTACATTGAAAAAAGTCCTTTCTAAGTCTCTTTCTTCTCCTGTTCCCTCTTCTCTATTCATGCACTTGGCAGTACACCCTGAACTGTATGTCCAAGAAATTCCCTCCCTACCCTCTGTTAAATGTATGATTCTGTCTCTGAATTATACCTTTGATTCACATATCAAAACCTTTTGTGGGCTTGAAGGCTGCCAAATATCCCAGACACAGAGAATGTATCTTCTGTCCAGTTGATTTGAGAATGCCTTTTCAGGTAAATCATGAACAGAGACGATGGTCTGCCTCTGAACTTGAGAGGCATGCAGATAGTACACTTTTCGATCTACAGATAAAATTAATAAAAACAGGGTTACAATTTACTAACCTAAAAGAATCACAGTTAAATTAGCATTCCTAATAACATTCAAATACATTCCAATTGATTCCATGATTCTTCAAAATTATACATATGTGAAGTATGGGTTTAAACAAATGGCCATCTTATTCTGGAAAGCCTGTCAGGGTTGACCTGGGGGATTACTAATGAGAAATCCTACAATTCTGTCAGCAATGCCACCCAAAACAGTATATATTTTCCATTTTGTCTTTTAGCTATGTACATAAAGACAAAATTACTTGAGTATATGCCCTATAGTCAAAATTTTGTATATAGAAACACACTAGGAATAATCTAATTTGATCCTTTTGCTTACTATGGCCTTCAGAGTATCTTTAAATAAAACATTAGGTACAGCTGGGTTTACTTACAGAGATGCTATTCAATTAAAATGAAGTAAAATAAATTCAAGATTCTGTTGGCAATATTTCCTTTGGTCCAACAATTCCTACAATTCAACAGATGACACTAAGTAATGTGTTAAAGTAGAGAATGTAAAATCCATGACTGGTTTGTATCCGATAGGCAAAAAGGAGCTAAAGATTTCCAGCTGGAAATGTCAACAAGTTGAAGACAAATCCAACTACTCCTCTGAAGATGTACTAAACCCCTGAGTCAAAGGACTATAAATCCAGAAAGGGTCATAAAGACCACATGGTATAAGCTTCTTTCCAAAAAGTTTTGGCTTGGTCAGACAAGTTCTTTGCTCTAAAATTTATTGAGGAAAATTAAAATGATAGTGGGATACCACTATGCACTTATAAGAAGGGTTAAACTTTTTTTAAAACTTATATTGAATACTGGTGATGATGCAGAACAATGGTATCTGTATTGGGATTGTGCTGAACATGGTAGCTTTTGGTAGGACTGTCATTTTCACAATATTGAGTCTTCCTATCCATCAACAGGGCACAATTTTTCCATTTATTTAGGTCTTGTGTCTTGCAAAAACGTTCTGTAGTTTCCTTTGTATACATTTTTTGTGTCTCTACTTAGATTTGCTCCCAAGTATTTCAATTTGTGGATGGCTATTGTAAATGGTATTGCTTTCTTGGTTTCCTTCTCTTAAGTTCTTTTTGTTACTGTAAAGGAATCCCACTGATTTTTGGTTATGGACCTTGTATCTGCAATTCAACTAAACTGGCCTACTAGCTCTACGTTTTTGTTGAGTCCCTGGGGTTTTTCTGTGTACATTATCATATCATCTGCATATACCAACAGTTTAACCATTTCTCTGACAATCAGGATGCGTATTATTTCCTTCTCTTGTCATACTACCCTACCAAGTACTTCCAATACAATACTGACTAGAAGTGGTGACAGTGGACATCCTTGTCTGGTCTCTATTAGCAAAGAAAATGTTTTTAGTCTTTCCCCATTGAGAAGGATACTTTTCATTATGTTGAGGAAATTCCCTTCTATTCCAATTTTTCTGAGTGTCTTAATGAGAAACAGGTGTTGGATTTTGTCAAATGCCCTTTCTGCATCAATAGCTAGAATCTTACGTTTCTTGTTACTTGTTTTGTTAATGTGGTGAATTACGTCGATTTGTTTTTCTTACATTGAACCATCCTTGCACAGCTGTTATGAATCCCACTTGGCCACAAAGAATTATTTTTGTTTTTCTATTCTGAATTGTTTTGTTGTTGTTGTTACGTGCTGTCAGGACTCATAGCCGCAGGGGAGCCTGGAAGCTGCGCAGGCAGAAGTCAAGGCCAGGCAATAGAGAAGCCACTCGCGGCTTCTGACATGCCTACAAGTACGAAGCCCTACGTGTGGAGCCAAAATCGGTCTGGAGGAACAGAGGGGAGACTGCAGGACATTCTGAATTACCTTTTTTTAATTGAGATTTTAATGACAGTTTATAGAGAACTTGGATTTCCATTCATTCATTGTTGCACATTTTCCTCCCTGCCTCCCCCAGTTTGCTTTTCTCTTTGGAAAAATAAAAAGAAAATTATTTCATTGTTGTACAATACCCCAGTCCATTTTACTATGCAGCTTTTAATCTAGACTGTTATCATACAAATAATAACTAATCATATATTCCTTTTAAGCAATTCTTTCCCTCATCTGTTTCCAAGCAATGTACCTTATTTATCCTCTCTTTTCGTAGTTTCCCCAACCCTGATACAGTCCCGTTTTACAACAGTGGCATGCAGTATTTGTCCTTTTGTGACTGAGGTATTTCACTCAGCATGTCTTCCAGGGTCACCCATTTTGTATATTTCTTGAGGTCCTTGTTTTTCAGTGCTGCACAGTGTTCCATTGTTTGACTATACAATATGGTGAAGAAACAAGTGAAGACATGTTCAAAATCCCTAGCTCTAGGAAAGATGCAAATCAAAACAACTACGCGCATCCAGAAACTTCTCTAACAGGGTAAAAAGGGAAGCCACAGACTGGGAAAAAAGTGTTTGGTAATGACATGTCAGATAAGGGACTT